TCTCTCCCTATTGTACTAACTTCAACATCTTGTTTTCTCCAATCATTCAAGCTCCACATGCTTACTTTCAACGATTTAAATAGTATTATTATATTACAAACATTTCAATGAAAGTGAGCAAATCGTCGGGGATATGACTAGGGCAATGTAAATATTCATGTCGCCAACTAGAGTTTCATTGAAAGTGGATTAAGAACGAGTTTTCAAATAATTCTTCTTATGTATCAACGGCTTCTATCTGCCCCTTAAGGCTCGCTCCGACACGTCTAGTGGCATGGAAGATATTACGACCGTATAAATAGAATATGCAAATACAGCAGGGATACCGCGAGTGTAATAAATAAAATGCGATGAGTCCAAGTGTGAGATTGGGAGATACTGACCAGTATAATGTGCTAATGAAGAGTTGCAAAGATACTTTTGAGACATATCTGCCGATTTTAATCGAGTAGATTAATTACTGCTGTTGTGGAAGCGGCGTTTACTCTTGATAAGATCACTAGTTTTTTTAATCGGTCAGTATAAAAGAACGAAGCTTGAAAAGGGCTGACATCGTTATTGAGTAAAAATTACATTTTGACAGTGGCAATAGCGAAACTCGGGCTAGGTACGCTGCGTCTGCCATCCATGGAGGAATGGGGCAAGCACCATTTTGTTGATATTCACCTGAACCAGGTGCTTCTTGTGGTCAGAGAATACATACGTATATGGAAGTCCTTAGTCTCATCTGAATATGACTGGTGGCAATAGAAGAAAGAACGCGGGGGTTCACAGAGCGACAATAGCACCAAGAATAGACCACCAGATGGGTCCTATAATTGTGCTCGATTTCTTAGGGTTAGTGGCTACAGGGGTTGGCCTAAACATCAGCAACCCGCATTTCTCTACCATCGTTTGTGGGTTGCTTCTGGGATACTATATGGAATATACTTTTGAAAGATGTTCAGTCAATGTTTTACCCATTTTTTGGTTTAAAATTTTTAGTTAAAGTTTTAGACCCTAGTCTATTAGAGCCTAGACATACCCATATTCTTGCCTATTAATTCAATATCTCGCAAACCAATCGACCTAAACAAGCGCCTAACGCTAAACCCAGTGCGACATCCCAACTAGCGAATATATTTTATAATTTTCGACTGTCCGAACTATTTTATTTTATAATTGCTTTATTACTGCTCTTAGAACACATATTTGTAAAAGTACTTTACAGCATAGGAGCCATATTTTGTATTATTACAACTTCAATTTACGGCGGCCATTTTTGAAAGTATGACAAAAATTATTTTGCAATAATAAAATGTCTTAATTTATTACTGTAGTGTTTACATGATGAATTAAGATGGTTCACTTGAATTATTTTATTGCAATACAATAAATAAGAAAAAATACAGATCGTAAATTCTGACCTTTCTCTTAAAATTCAATAATAACTAATATCTTGAAAAAAAATTGTGCAGTAAAATATCAACCATCAGATTCCAAATCAAATTTTTGTCTGTCTGGTATTGGGTGCATATATCAGAACTAAATGCAACATGGTTGATGTAGTTACTCAAACATATCTTATTTGCTAAAAAATATAATATGTAATTGCCTTTTTGTTGTATCAAGGATTATTAAAAAATAAATTATTCTCAGTGGGTGCAATTTAACAACAAAAAAAGACTTTTAGTGTTAGTCAAAACAAAAAAGTTGCATCTAAGATAACAAAACAACCTTTATGAAATTGTTATTGTAGTTCTACAACTGTTTTCAATAAAACTGTTTTATAATTGTTGCATACTATATTTCATAATAATTTTAAAAAAGGTAAAATCCGGTAAACGTTATTTGAGCCATAGTAAAAAAAAAATTGAAAACAAAATTGCTGCGTCCTTCTTAGGTCTATAAGCGTTGTATAAATGTTGGCAGAACGTTTATAATGGTATTGTTGTTTTATAAAAGTAGTTCTGGAAACGTTTTTAGGACATTTATAAGTCATAAATTGTTAGTTGTGAAGTATGTACATAAAAATACCTTTTTCCTTAATTAATACGCAACCCATTTTATAACTTACTATTTTGCAGTAAAAAAACTCGAAATAAAGACGGCTGAAATTACCCGAATTTTGATTTGAAATGTTTACTCATACCTCAATTTTTTTAATTTCCTTCAAAAAATAGAGAAAATATCCTGATGTAATACTTTTTAATTCGAAAAAAGTCTGCGAACAATATCCAATTTTAGGTACGTCTATTTTTTCGGCTTAGCAAATCAACGGAGCCATGAAAAAAAATCGGGTTTTCTTTTTCATACCTACTAGGTGTACAATCAGGCCCAATAGGACTGAATTTTGAAGCCTTACCTTTTTTCGGTGTCCACTTCAGGTGGATAATAGAAGTAAAATGAGAGCCATTCAAAAATGACTATAGAACCGTATCGTAAAATACGAACATCTTCTACATGAATCCTTTATATGCATTGCATCCATAAATTATTGCTAAAGTACCTCTAAAATCCTACTGGTACATTTATGTATCTCGCCTCTCACCTTTTCGATAACTTATGGCTTACGTCTAAGGAAGCCTAAAGGGATATCAGAAAAACCGCAACTATTCCTTGCACTCTCTCCGCTACAGTCGTCGTCGAACGAGTTCCGCAAAAAATGCTACCCTCATAATAATTATGGCTGGTTCGAGCTGTCAGAGTACCACCTACTGCCCGAGGTGCGGAAAAAAGACCAACGGAGGAAAATCGTGAACGATCCGCGCGCGGCTCTTTTGTGTTTCAGGCTATGAAACTTATAGCTTGTATTTGAAAAAATCGCAATAGAAATCAGCGGCGAAGCGGTTAATAATTGATATTTCATCTGGAAACTCATCCTCTATACTTATCCGAAGTAGACCATCTGTATACCCGCAGCGCACGGACGGGTGCTCGATATAATAAATATATTATAAATATATATGGGGTGATACGGATATTGTGAACATGTGCCAAATCAGAGCCCAATTGTTAGTAGGATTTATGAAACATAATGAACAAATTCCTTTCACATTCTATTTTATTTTGGCTGGAGAAAGCCTTTGCAAGAGAGCCAGACGGAGTTAACTTTTGGTCTTTCCCAGACACTACTAATAATTCGAGATTTTTCACTGTGAATCACATCATGCTAGGTACTTCGCCATGATGGGTAGCATTGAGTTAAGGGCTCAAAATTGTATTATTCCTCATCAGAGGTATTTCTGTAATACTATCAAAGAAAAAATCTGTTCAACTAGTTGGTTTAAATTGAGTTGATTTCTGTTTGACGTTCGAAAAATTTCGAGATTGTGATATGATGTTTCATATATGTCACATAGAATATGAATCAAAAAAAGCCAGGGCATTCATTTCAGTTTGTCTGTGTATGTGTCTGCGAATCTGTGGCCCTTATACAACTCGCCTGTAGAGTTTTGGTATACCCCATTTCACGAGTATCCATCACGGCTTAATGACAGCTGGTTATCTAGCAATACTTGAAAATTCCCCATATCGACACAGGACACATAATTCTGACGGATCCGTTAACGCCAGGTTTTGTTTTTTATATGGTGCAGATTTATTTTGTACTTCCTAACAGCTGTATTTATTCACAAAAGTCCATTTGCGTACAAAAAGCTAAGCGCCACAAACAAGTTTTACTAGAGTAATACTCGATCCATTATTGCCAACTTTCCAGACTAACACAAAAATGTCACTTGCCTATCATCTGTTTACCTCAGTAGGCGTCAAAGTGTGATGGATAGTCGCGAAATAGGGTATATGTTTACCCGAATGCCTCAGAAAGAGGGTTATGTTTTCCGCGCTTATGTATGTATACAGACAACAAATTCTATTTCACGAGCTACCGTAGATGTGTATTATTAGTGCGCGATACAGTGTGTTGTACTAAAATTTCATAGAAAAAAATGGCAGATTTTAAACACAAATATTTATTTCAAGGGCTATTTGACAATTGAGGTGTCCTCAGATTCGTCTTGATAGCTCAATTAAATCTTTATCGTTTTCAGTTACTTCATTCAGGTTGTTTGTGTTTTATAGGAATGTACGAGTACTTCTTTACTACTAATGGTGTCCAAATTATGATCGAAAAACGGGAAGCCTCACAATGTCACCAACGTTTGGCTTTCGATGTTTTTCCAGTTCCTAATCATATGTATAGGTTTTGGTCGAGTCCAAATATGCAAAAAAATCCGAGGCCATAATTGTTTACGTTTTTCGCGCTTTACGTCATTTAACACGTTCAGTGCGAACAGCGTCAAAAGACGCCCTCCGCTCCTGTGGTGGGAGGCGAACGGCGTCTTTCGACGCTCTCTGCCGCCTTCCAAAAAAGTATTTCAGTTACTGAGGTGGGTATTCTCATCCCAGTTCGCAGTCAATGTGTTAAGAGCCTAGTCAGATGATTTTTGAGGAGAGACGCAAAAACTTTGAGATTGGTTATATCTGATATTTTTGACTACCACTAATGACAATCAAAATTTTTGTACGCCCAAATTTAAAATTGATAATTCTTTCATGTAGTGTATAGATATTACTGGAAAACAGTCTTTTCTTACGTTGTCTCATCACTTAATTTTCAACGTCAGAGCTGTACTAATATTTATTAGCAAGTTACGATTGAAGGAAAGATGCAGAATAAAATGCACATTATAAGATAACATTTACGCTCAAAAGGTGGTAGATATCTTGTTGAGGTATCTCGTTCCAGGCTACTGCAGCTCCGTGAGTAAGAGCTGCTAAAGTCTGTGGAGATTGCTGGAAATTCAAGAGCCTTGCGACCTATCAAGTCCCAGACATGCTCAATTGGAGATACGATGTCTTTTAGGGTTTGCATATATAAACATAGTAGGCAGCGCGGATCGAACATCAGTACTGAATCTTTACCTCACTCTTTAGTAAACCACATTCAAAGTTTCACAACAATACGTGCAGTGTTCTCATTACAGTGAATTTTTAAGTGTCGCCAAGTCATTAGAAAAATGGAACTCAACCGAAAACATTTTCGCTCCATAATTTATTACAACTTTCAGAGACAATTATCGCAACAAGAATGCCTTGCTCAGTTACTGTCTGCTTTCGGCAACGAAGCGCCACATCAGTCGACAATTTCCCGTTGGTATGGAGAATTCAAACGTGGACGGGTGAGTCTTAGCGACGATCCCATGGTGGGTGCACCAAAAACGGCATTCACCCATTAAAATGTCGATGCTGCGTGCAAACTCATCATTGAAGATAGACATGTGACATATCGCGAGATTGGGTCGTCCTTGAAGATCTCAAAGACTTCAATTGAAAAAAGTGTACATGAAGAATTACGAGTAAGAAAATTAGTTTCTCGTTGGATACCCCACCTGTTGACTGAAGAGCAGAAAGCAGCCAGGGTTAATTGGTGTCAAAAAAGGCTAGACCGTTTCAATTCCGGAAACTCAAAAAATGTGTACAGCATTGTTAGTGGTGATGAATCGTGGATTTACTGTTACGAACCAGAAAATAAACGACAGTCGGCTGTTTGGGTCATCCGTTCTCGAAGTGTTTCGAAAAAAAATGTCGCGACATTTCTGTCAAAAGCGGGTTACATTGCAACAGTTCCTCTTGATGAGCAAAGAATTGTTACTGCGGATTGGTATACCACCATTTGTTTGCCAAAAGTCATCACCGAGCTTCGAAAAATCAACCCCTAAAGAAGAATCATTCTTCACCAAGACAATGCAAGCTCGCACACAGCCCAAAATACAAGGCAGTATTTAACGGAAGAAAACGTGGAATTATTGGACCATCCTCCATATAGTCCCGATCTAACGATTTCTTTGCTTTCCCGAATATGAAAAATAGACTGAGTGGTCAGAGGTTAGAGTCACCAGAAGAAGCAGTTGACACATTCAAAAATGCCGTTTTGGATCTGCCAGCAAACGAGTGAAATAAGTGATTCGAAAATTGGTGCGAGCGCATGCAGATGTGTACTAATCTTCGTGAAGAATACTTCGAAAAACAATAAAGTCATCTAAAACTACCTATCGTGTTTTTTTATTTCCATATGCAAAACTTAAAAGACATCCCTCTAGGTCAGGCGATCGTGGAGGCCAAGGTAAACGGTTAATGCGATGTTGATCCATGAAGGTTAACGATGCTCTGGCAACATGCGGTCTGGCATTGTCTTGCTGAAAAATCGGGTTTTAGATGGTGTTCAGGTATGGAATAAGATGAGGTTCCACTACTTCCAGAATATAGCGTCGGGTTGTCATATCGCCTCTGATGAAAATTAGTGATCATCTGCTACCATAAGCACTCCATACCATAACTCCCACGGTGTGGTGGACATGACGCTCTCTTGTCAAATTGTGGGTCACGTCTTTTACCACGTCGCCTTATCACTCTTATGCATCCTCTGACAGAAGCGGGATTCGTCACTAAAGACCTCCTGATTTTTTCTCTACACCAGAGCAAACGGTTATACCAATGTTATGTAAACAATTCTTGGATTCTAATAAACATACGTAGGTGTTTACCTTTTTTTGTCAATCCGTATATTATAAATACCTGCAAACAGCAATATCTCGCCAATAAATACTTTTAATACAAAATCTCTTCAAAGTGCTCTTCCGAACGTTGCACCTCTCCTCAAGGTACGATGCATAAATACTCCGATAAGAAAGTATTTATACCATCCTGCGGATGGACTGCTCCTCCATATCTGCAACGGATACCCTGTACGAGCTCGTATATTTGTTTAAAGGAAACGCATTCGCCTAGAAAAAATACATGCACCGTGGTTGCATTCTCCCGTTAGAAATAATAATAAGTGTGGTGACCAAGAGCCGATCTGGTCTCGAAGCTAATAACCACATGCTTCATCTCGCTAGAAAGTAAATTTCATGACTTTCAGCGGCGGATGGTCGCCGGGCGACAATTAAAGTTGCACTTTTTCAGCACACTTCGTGTGTTTGTACACGATCCTCGGTGTTGATTACTCCCGAGGAAATGAGATGTTTGGATTGTGCTTCGGGCGAGACAGCACGATGATCCTTGGCGGAAAAGATCAAACAATGCATTTCTAATGCTATGCGGGTGTCCAGAGTGACAGGCCCTGGTATGCGGATGATTTGAGAGAAGTCTTGTAGCAGTTTCTTCGCTAACGAAAGTTCTGGAACCTCCTGATCCACATTATGTCTCACGTAGCACTGCAGCAATCGATTGACATTTCGGGAAAAAATAGGGTTATAGTATGAATGGTTGGAGCAATTCGGTAAAGATATTTTCAAAATGATTTGACTACGTCATCTTATAGAGAAGAAAAAGTAACAGTGACAACCATCAATTCATTTTGAAATCCCATCTCGAGTAAAGTCAGGGACAAGTAAAAGTGATTTTGGTATCAATCTGGTTTGCCAGACAAATGACTACCTGGTAATTTCAATGCCTAAGGAAATTCTGCTTTTCTGAAGTAACCAAGATTTGGGAATTGTCAATGTCTGCGCAAAATTCCAATATGGTGTCCTTAATAAAAAATAAAGTTTATGGTGGAGGACAAGAGACGAAAGGTCATATTGAAATTCTAATTATACCACCTTGTAGAGGAGAAATAGTGGCACTGTTTATGAGCAACTTATTTTGATATCCCACTACAATTTTGGAAAAATTCGGTCTTTTCCGTCTTTCTCCGGAAGTACTTTGAAATTCGAAACTTTTTAAGCGGCATTTTGTTGATTACTTAAATACATAGCTTTGCCCGCATTTAAGTGACATCGTACCTCTTACAGTTACCAAGATCCCAATCCTCAGGCTCGACTTTGAAACATCCTGTATATCTCAGAAACTCATAATTTGCGAAGAAGACAACTTTTCATAAAATTAACCTTAGATTAGACATTAGGTATATAAAAACTTTAAATAAAAAAATCTAAAAATTATATAATATTCTTTTCAGAATAAGTAAGTTGGTATCTATTTCCCATACAACCATTTTGAAAATATCTATACCATAAGCCCAAATTTTCGACGTGGGACACCCTGTATTTGTGGGTCAAGTAAGAACATCTGGTTGTAATGGATTGCTGAGTTTCATCAAGAAGCCTCAGGGTTATTTACAAACTTCAGCTTCTGCAGCAGCTAAGGCCAATTTTTGTTGATCGGGTATCGAAACAAGCTACTAGGAAGTTGCCTTTGCAGTCCTGTTGACCTTAGCCAGGTTCGAAATACGATCTACCCAACCTTTTTATTTGAGATTGCACATACGTAATAATTGAAGGTCTCTTTCAATTCTTACTACAAGCACACTAAACTTGGAACTCTGGGGAAAGAGACACTGATTTTCAAATTCGGATCCTTCCATATATATCTACGAAAACTTTAGATCAGATTCATATTTTACACACTAAATTCACCCAAGGGACGGGTTCCAGTGAAGATTGTAGATACCCAAGAATGTTCGAGATTTAATTTTAGTAATTTGCTTTTTAAGTTTTAAAGTTTCTTTTCATTTTTGCTGGCCGATGTTACAAGTGAACGATTTAGAATATGGTTCTTTCCGTGGATTTTGGCGATTACGTCATCAATGTCATATGACATAGCTAAGCAAATCGACTCACTGAATCATGTGCGGAGCTGGACCTGCATAGGAATACTGCACCCTGCACAACCTGATCTTAAAAGCAGCTGTTTTTTCACACATGAATTGATTAATAAATAACAATTGCTTCCATTCACTTTCTGAACATAACTCCAATAATTTTGCCAAAAATATCGATATATTCCGTTAATTGTATGTTCAGGTGCTGCTATGACTTATGTTACGAACATCATTAAAATGTCATAGACACTCTAAAAATAACTTCCTTCTGAAGCCACACTGCGCTGGAGACGGTTCTTCCACTCCTCATAGCAATGTTGGAATAGCCTTCAGCTGGTCTGTTACAGTTGTCTGAATGTTTTCGACTGCCCCAAAATAAGTTTCCCTGGAGTGATTTTTTAACTTCGGGAAGACAAAAAAGTCACAAAGACTCAATAATAACGAGACTGAGGAGGCCCAGCAAGGTTTTTACTGTCGATATTTTCATCAGTTTTGAAGATCAAGACCTTCCGCTTCGTTGTTCATCTTCAGTAGACTCTTTCCCTTCTAAAAACGCCTTGAACCACCGAAACCCCTGGCCTCTTGACAAAACACTCTCACTTTCCCTAGACCTGAAATTGATGTCACTCATTTTTAGAACACAATAGAAACAAAATCCTCACGTCGAACAAATGACTCGAACGAGTTCAAACTTGTACTGAAGGCGGATCATGTTCACTTGTCTCCCGTCCGAGCTTGGCGCCTCCAGTATTGCCAGGTCGAACGCTACGTTGCCAGTCTCATCATTTACAGACCTCGTACTCATACGTTGACGAGAACATTTTCGAGACGAAGCTAAAAAAACGCATGTCTGAACTTACACATTCTCGCACAGAGCCCGATTGCTTATTTATATGTGAGGGAAATGGATGTTCTAGAAGTGATGCGGGTAGTTTTAGCGAATCCCGCCAAAAGACCGTGCTGTATGCAAAATTGATAAAGTTTCACGAAGCCCTATATAGCAATTTGTCCAAGAACGGGGTCCTGATCGAGATTGCAGATACTCGAAAGTTTTTTCTTCATTCATATGCCTGAAGCTTCTCAATCCAAAAATTGATGTATTGCGGTAATTTTGGTCGCTCTCAGCGAAAAACTGACATGCCATTCGTGATCTACACACCGTATTTACTAGCGGAATAGCTTGTTCAGTTTCTGTCACCTTCCTCCAAAAGGCTGGACCTATGTCGTACTGATGATTCCTGAAAAGCATGAGACATAGTTGTATACTGTTGGTGATCATCGCATAGTTTATGCATTTTTGAACAGTAAGTAGTGCTGGTAGCATGGTGAGTACTTCGTACTCCTCTAAGTGTTGGGAAACTGGTGTTCTGCTACCGTAGGTTGTTGGCGAAACTGCTCAGTATTAAGTCTTTCAGTAGGCCTATATTCGCGTGTTTGCTTTCCGTTATCTGTCTCCAAATGTCCATACCGATGATTGTTCAAAAGCATGAAACAGCGTTGAATACATTTGGTTATGCTCACAGATGCGGCAAAAAACACATCCTATTCAGCCCCTAATCTTCAAACTAACTTTTTTTTAAATCTTCAACGAATCAATAATCGTATTCGAGAAAAGCTAAATTCTTAAGATGCTTTTTGTCGTTCAAGCTCACTGATTTTGAGCCGCTGCAGATCCTAACCGTTAGATCTTCGCAACTGTCGTATTGAATCGTTCATCATCACATAGTTTATCACGCAGTGCTTTGATAACTACGTTGACACCAGACATTATTCTAGATTTCATCTCATTTATACTGGCAATAATCCTGCGAAATCAGATCCAAGCAACGTATAATATTACCTGCAAGTTCCGTTTCAGTTTATCAAACAAGAATATAATCTATTTAATACGGTCTTGGCGCAGCTTTGCTCAATAACTGCCTCTCTTTATCTATTTAAACCGATGAGGTATTTCGATCTGCATTCTGGCATAATAACGGCAAACCGACGCTGTGTGCAGCAGCGCTGCCAACTATAAAACAGTACACTTAATTTTTCTAAATCCGTTGAAAGATAAAAATGGTGGCTGGTCTAGGAAGTACGAGCTTGAATTACGGTTACATACCTTACAAGCGGAGCGAGCCTGGCGACTACTATGCGCAAAATAAAATATAGGTTAGTGGTATAAAGTGTATGTGCTCTGCTATGGATACTACCAAAGAGTTCCTATAACTAGAGCAGAGTTGCAAATACGATGCAGCACTTGCCTTTCATCGCAATTTATATAAATACCTGAAAATTTTGCCACAGGTTTAGAATTGGCA